ATGGACAATATCACAAAAAATCATACACATGTGCATACATACATACACATTTACAAACATTACTATGCATAAAACACACATACAAATCTATGTACATATTTAAGTAAAACTGCAAACGCTTTGTTGTCGAACGAACTGGAATAAAACATTTAAAACCAATTTCAGTTAATCCGAACAGTTGGTTGAGTGAAACAGACGACGGGCGTAGAAATGCCTGCAGTGTATATATGTATATATATAAATATATACAATATATATATTTTTTCCCATTAGTTATATAGGAATTTTTCAAGCGACTAATTTATAATAATGATTACAAAATGAGAAATTTCAAGACCAGAGATTTCTTTCGCGGCAGCGTACAAAATACTATACCGAAAATATAAAAAAAAAACGAATTTAGCGCAAAGCGAAACACCAATATCATTACTCTCTCTCGTTGTTAATGCAACCTTTATAAAGTCGGTGTATCAATCAGCTGGTTTGAAAAGCGAAACGACGCAAAGGAAACGCGGTCTACAGACGCCGGCAGCGTTCAAGGCAATAATGGTATATTTAACTGAATAAATAAGTATGTATGTATGTATATAGTTACATATACTCGTATATATATATGTATGTACATGCTTGGCGGTTTAAAGGTGCTTATAGTCTTCTCTCTTTTGTATGATCGCTTCGGCATTAGCGATAAAGCTAAGTGGAAATGAAAACAATATGACTGCATGCACACATACACACACACATACATACATAGATCCGTAGATACTTTGCCAAGTTGTAATTTAATCAGCTGTTTTTTGTTTACCATTAGCTATTTTTACGTTTGAATTGAGTAAAATTACTGCCGAAGCTGTGAGTTTTTGGAAACGAATTGAATCGAACTGCCTGGTTATAAGTTGTTGTTGTTGTTGTAGCGGTTCACTAGCCCTGCTTAGGCACAGGTTTGATTAGTCTAAGTCGCCGAGGTCATCTAATGGTAGGCCCAGCAACGAGCTGTTTCGACGGGTTTGGACCAAAGGGAGGGGGGTTAGATGAGAGGGCATATGAAGAGGAGGTTAGTGTCGTGCGGAGACTCTCCGCAAGCAGGGCTTACGTTGGGTATGCTGGGGTCCAGACTGGATAAGTAGGAGTTTAACCTGCTACAGTATCCAGTATCCCTGTGGTAGCATCCCAATAGGAACTGCTTGGACAGCAAAGCATTATGCTCCTTAACTCGTAGCATAGATGCTTCCCTGTGCAAGTGATGCTCCGGCGACATCAGGCCTGTAATTTCTTCATCTGCGTCTCGTTCGTTCCCGGCGCCCAGATCGGAGCAGCATAGCTTACGACCGGCCAGCCAATTGCTTTATACGTAGCCAACAAAGTTTCCTTGTCTTTACCCCAGGTGCTGCCGGCTAGTGCTTTGAGTATTTTGTTGCGGCTCTGGAGATTCGCGGCAATTGCGGTCGTATGCGGAGTGCAGGCTGTCTAGGGTTACTCCCAATATTTTTGGGTTATTTACCGTGGGAATTTTGTGTCATAGACCTTCACATCTAGTTCAAGCCTGTATTCCTTCATCCAGCTGGTGAAGAGGGTAGCCGAGGATTTCGTGGGTTGAATTTGTAGCTGTCTTGCAGTGAAGAAGTGGGAGAGATCAGCGAGGTAGTCGTTCACTTTCGAAAAGAGGTCATCAATATAATGGCCAGACGCCATTATCGTACAATCATCGGCATAAGAGGTTAGGGAAACTCCTTCTGGTGGTGGAGGGAGTTTCGAGATGTAAAAGTTAAACAATAGCGGGGAGAGGGCACCACCCTGCGAAACCCCCTGTTTAATTTTTCTGGGTTTAGAGGTTACACCTCGGAAAATTACCCATGATAGTCGACCACTCAGGTAGCCCATGACCCACCTCTGCAACCGCGGCGGTAATGAGGATTCCTCAATGTCCGTTAGCAGCACTGAATGATGGACTGTGTCAAAAGCTTTTGACAAGTCCAGAGCTACTAGGACAGTTCGCGCGCAAGGTCGGTTTTGGTTAAGGCCAAAACCTAACGCACCCTCATCCCCAAGAGCAATTTTCACTAATGCTGGATATGCCCTCCCATGCCAATTTTACAGCTTTAAACTATTCGTCCTTGGCTCTACAATGCTCTCTGTTAATTTGGATATTTACGAGCTCCCATAAGTTCTCAAACAAATTCTACGATGCTTCGAGGTACGCCTAGGATCGGTGCATCTCTTCTTCAGCATATGGCAACATCACATTTTCAAAAATAACGGTATACATGAAACGATCCATTATTCCTATTATTTGATGTTTTTATTGCCGTTGTAACCGGAAAATTATTCCCCAAAGTACTTTTTGGGGAATGTTGCGGGAGTGACAGTCCTTGGCCGGATAAAAATCAGGGTCGTTCCGGTATAAAGACCCGACTGTCGCGGGAACTATTGGATTTTAGTCGCCTTTTACGACTGGAATGCCTTATCGCGGGTAAGTTCTTGAGACCCAAACCCGCAGGGGAGCCTATTATTTGATAAAATGGTCCGATACCTTGACCGGAGAACAACCCCAGGTCCAACCACCGATTTGAGTCGAATTACAATATAAAAGATGGTATGAAACATGTGAGTAAACCACACAAATGGTAAAATTAAGAAATATCCATAAACGATTTTCAAGACGTTTGATAACATACGAGTACACACCCGCAACGAAGAAAACCTGCATCTGATGGTCCACTTTAACTAGTGACCCATAAGCAGTAAATTATGTATCTGCGTTTGTACGCTTCCTTCCTATTATATATTGTACATACATACATATATATATACATTCGGTTATTGAACTTTTGACCTTCCCCAGATGCATATCCGAGCTTGTCTTCAGTCGTGTCTACCTTTGTGTGTTTGCTGATATCAATTTATCCAGCAAAGATGCTGAGCTTTCAGTGCATCGGAAGCACGAAATCATCGGAACACACAAATATAGCACATACTGTGTATGTAGGCATGCGAGTTTTATTTTTTGAAAATTCAAACAGAATACTATTCCACAGCTCCCACATTTGTCTGTATACATATATGTAAGTACAGAATTTGTATGTGAATACAGTTGTTTTCTTTCGAAATTCGTCTAAAGAAAGAGGTACTGCTGTGTGCCCAATTGTTATAGGGTCAAAGCTTCGCACAGCTTACATCATAAATACTTTACGAAAATATTGTGTATGGTGGCAGCAAAGCTGAAAGCTGCAAAAAGTGTGCCGTACACAAAACTACTGGAAAATATCGATCCACTTTCCAGCAACCCTCGCAAGCGTGCTCATTCCTTTCAATGGAAAGTGTGCCTGCTGCTTTACGTCTGCGAGAGTGTTTCAATGTGAATAGAATATACATATGTACGTATGCATGTGTATGTACATACACATACGAGGCTAGTGACTTTAATTCCGCCAATGCTAAGCATTATTATTTTTAAGAATATTTTTCAAATCTGTTTTATCCTGCACTGCCTTGTTGATACATACATACAAATAAACATATTTACGTATTTTAATAGGACAGACAGACTGCACGCATTATCTGCAAAAGATGGCTTTATTTGCATTAACTCCTGAACTGTTCTCTTCTAAATGTAACAAAACTCCTTGCATTTGAACTGCAGCCTTATTTCACAGTTTTTTTTTACATTGTGAATGTAATGAGTTGTTGTTGTTATTGTTGTAGCGGTTCGCTAACCCCGCTTAGGTACAGATTTGATCGCTCTATGTCGCCGAGATCATCTAGCGGGAGTTCTAGGAAACGAGCTGTTTCGACGGAATTGGACCAAATGGAGCGCGGGGTTAGTTGAGTCGGTTTAAGGGACATGTGGAGAGGTGGTTAGTGTCCACATGCAGGGCATACGTTGAATATGCTGGGGTCGAGGAGTCTGGATAACTAAGAGGTCAACCTGCTACAGTATCCAGACCTAAGTTGTGCCAAAATAATGGAACAAGTGACATTTGCTCCTGTCAAGAGAAGATATACGTACAAGAAAACCAGGGAAAAAATATCATATATGGGGAGGTGTAACAATTTCAGCATGAAATATCGTGTTATGGCCTATGCTTCCTAATTCATTAATTATTTTGATGCTGTTTAAAGATTTTAGAAGAAGAACGTTAAGTTTTCTTTCAAATAGGTAATTCTTCTCTCCACGTTTCGCTAAAAGTTTTTGTCAAATTAGCTGATAACCGTCAATTCACATTTGCACCACTTTATGCAACATAACTAACTGAGTCTTCTTCTTCTTCTTCGATGATCATTAAAAATACGCTATTCGTAATACTTAGAAATTCACAATAGTAATGATATTTCTTAACAGAGTGCACAAAGTGGAAGGTGGAAATGAAAAATAGAAAATATTAAATTTGGACTAAATTTGAGTGCGAAAATCAAACCACGGACCACTGTCTCTGCCACACCCCATATAAAAACATATCCTGTACAATATCAAAAAGAAAAACGGAACTGAATAAGAAACGCAGAAAATGTACATATTTTTTTCAAAGTCCAGTGGCCAATTCGAATTTTTTCCACCAAGTACAGTATTCTGATAAGGAGTCAAGGATTGATAGGGCGTAGGTGTTCCACATTGCGCCGTTGAGCAATTGCTTGTATATTCGAAGCGCAAAAAGACGCGACTGCAAGCAAACACAGAGAAATTCTATCTATCAGAGATATATGTATGTATACACCTGTACTCGTACATACAAACAAACATGCATACATACATACATAAGTACACATTCCACTGGGTTCCGAAAATGTAATTTTCCTTCCAAAACGACGTGTTTACATATTTACTCCAAACAATAAATACCTACTATTTACATATGTACGCTCGTACACCTACAGACCTACAGGTATTCATATATTCTCCCATACAATATTTAGTACGATGATAGTAGCCCAACTTGGTATTGTATATATATGTACATACGTGTATAGTGTGGCGTAGTGTGGTGTGGTGTATTGTAACTTACCTTACTCAACTTGTCGCCTTCGTGGCGTGGTAAGAGCGAGCGTAAATTCTGAAAACCGGCATTGATGCTTTGCATTCGTCGTCTTTCGTTGCTGTTGGCGATTTCTCGTCGCATACGTTTCTCGCTCTCTAGAAGGTTTTTGTTGCCGCCGTTGTTGTTGGCAGCATTGCCGCCTGATGCAGTGGCACCATTGCCATTTTTTGTTGATGGACTGCCGTCGGAATTCATGCCGGAACTTGATTGACGTTGGCGCTGCTGTGGTAGTTGCGGCTCCGCCTGATATTGAATGAATTCACCTCCGGAATCGTCTAATTGCAATCTGTTAGAAATGGATCAAATATAAAATAAAGATTAATTATTTAATGATACAAAGAATTTTGAGATGAATGTAATTTTTATATGTTAAAATGTGTCTCCATTGTCGAGATTCTGCATTAAAACTCGAAACCAACGATTGTTAAAAAAAAAAAATGCTTTTGATATGGCAACCCCGGATCCCATGTGCCGGGACGATGTGTCGTGCAAATGGATTGGTTGACTTTCCTGCAACAACGACCAACACATTGGCACGATTCCGGTTCAATGACACGACAAGAATGAAGAAAATAAGAAGTGAATAGCTCTGCTTGCTGAGATATGTATGCCAGAGAGAACTATTGCAGCTAGTAACGAAATGTCGAGCCCGGTGCAGTAAAATTTTGTAACTATCGTTGCTGTCCATTATCTCTCCGAACAGGATTGTTGTCGTACACTTGAGCAAATCCAAACATCAGCCCTTCCTTATATTTGGTACCTCGAATGGCCTTAGATCTCATACGAAAACTAGTCAAATATTTTTACAAATCTTTTACGAATGAGAGAGCCCTTGGTGGCATGGTATCGTGTAGATTCAATGAATAATTAATCATTAACCATTCCAAACCCATTCTGCAATCAAATTATTATGTACATACATACATGAAATGGTATATGAAGAATAAACTTATCAAAATTTGTACTGATCTGGTCAGAATGAGGAGTTGAGTAGAAATAGCCATATCCGCCTGTCTTTCAGTTTTAGAGACATTTCAACCATTTATCGGAACCGTCCATTTCAGACCACTACAGCATATACATATAATGCATATCGACCGATTTTTCTAATTTGAGATTTTGGCTCATTGAGAAAATGGACGGCTGTAACATGTAGCTCCCATACATCGATATTTTCAGATATGAGGCTTTGTGTAAAACACCGTTAAAAAGCGTCTACAAACCGGGCTTGAGAGGTATAAACACTTTGACATAGCGCAAGGCAGCGCTTCTCTCTTGTTTTATGTCCTAGCTGACATCTCTCGGTCTCGAGTAAATTTCTGATGTCTTTTTAACGGTATTCGCGAGGTTAATTTTGTATTTTTAAATTCGAAGAAACCTCATTCTATAATTTTGCTCTTAATAAAAGTTACAGAAATATTTACATACAAGCACATACATATATACATATGTATCTATGTATATCTAACTATTTTAGTGGGCGCAACACCGTTGTACGTTTCCACATGTGCGACAGGTAAATATGTGTGTATGTTGGAATACTTTTTGTTTGTTTAGATTCTCGCGCTCATTCATAAATTCCGTATTCATTGGAGACTCGGCTGCCGTCACAAATTTCATTTCGTGGTGCTGACATTGGAATGCAGTTCCATTCACCTCTGTGTGGACTACATATTACAACTCTGATAGTATAACCGCTACTGTCACCACTACTGCTTAATGGTTGTAGCTCGCAGAACAAAACATTATTAAGATAGCGCACTAGAGTATTATATTTTTACTCAATGCTTTTATTGCGCTGTGTGTACAATACGTGTATGCGCTCACCGAGCGTATGTAAATCTATATTTATAAATAGTTATTCACATAAAAACTGCGTGGCATTTATTTTTACGAAAGTCCATCCGAAGAAGTGAGGGGGAAAAACGTGTGAAACGATCTTAATGATTCTAAAAGTAGACATATTTATTAACGGCCATGCAGACAACACTCCAATTACATGACTACAAGGACTGCATTCAGCGCGGTAAGGCATGGCTGTCGTAAGAGGCAACTCAAATCCAGAAGTTCCCGCAACACTCGGGACTTATAACGGAACGACCCGAATTTTTTCCGGCAAAGAACTGTCACTCCCGCAAAACCTATTTTGCTGCTACAACAACTACAACCGGTGGTCTCCCTGTGGGTTAGAGGGTCGAGAATTTACTGATGGTAAGGCATGGCTGTCGTAAGACGACTAAAATCCAATAATTCCTGCGACAGTGGGGTCAAGGACTCTCACTCCCGCAATACTCCCCGATAACGGATTCGGGGAATATTTGCGTTTACAACAGCAACAGAGCGTATCGGAGGGCTTTAAGAGCCATCCACCGAACGTCTGTTAAAACCCGGAGCGTAATCACTACCCATTAGAGACGAAGAGCTCGAGGCATAATTAATATCCGGATATTGTAGTCGAATATCCAACGTATGTATGTCCTAAACAACACTTACCACCACGTAAAACTTACTCATGTAACCTCCTTTCTATCAGGACCGAACGCATCGAAGCATACCGATCTTGCCTGCCCCTAAACGGGATTTGACTAAGCGCAACAACAACATTCCTCCAAGTTACTCAGAAGTGTGCGTGTTTTGACCGAAACCTTTTGACTGTTGGAATTTTGCAACTCTTAAACACGATAGACATGTACTCGTATGTATGTAGATAGGTCAGTGTGGTAAGCGAGATGCTGTTGAAATTAGTGTAATATGGTTGTTGTTGTTGTTGTTTCAACCGCAAATTGTTCCCCGAATTGGTTTTCGGGGAATATTGCGGGAGTGACAGTCTTTGGCCGGATAAAAATCCAGTTCGTTCCGGTATGAAGACCCAACTGTCGCGGGAACTATTGGTTAAATTCTTGAGCACCTATATGTATGTATGTATGTATGTACATATGTAAGCACGAAAATTACTTTTTTGTTGTTAACATGCTGGAATGTGGTCCTGCAACATTGCACTTTGCCGCTTGCACACAAACAAACAATCAAGGAATCGGATGCATATTGGCAAGTTGTAGATGTACATATGTGTGTTGGTGGAGGAAAATTGTATTGGTTGACTTTGGTGCTGTTTCTTCTTTTACTAAATTACTCTCACTTTAATTAATGATTAAATTCCTTTTTTCTTAATTGAGTTATGCAGTCAAATTTCACAACTTACGTAGTTAAAAAGGTGTCCTTAGTCCTTTAAGATAAGAGTTCACGAAGGTAGACCTTCATTGGGGCAATAATAACAACAGTGCTGACACATCAGCTGTAAATGCTTACACAAACATTTTATTGACAAAATGCAGAAACAAGCGTATGCATATACCTACATATGTACGTATGTATGCAGGTGTGTATGTATAAACACATTCTTGTTGGTCGCCAATTGCAGATGATGACGCAAGCATTGACCTATTAAGCAGCAATGGCTGTGTGGTTGAACTGCCAACATTTGCAGTTATACTACACATGAACATTCATACACATGCATGCAGTATGTAGGTAAGATAGACTAGAGGTATGAAAGAATGTAATACGGAATACCTCGTGAACTTCAGCAAAGCTTGAATCAAAGAAGACTAGAAACGAAACTTAAGGCCCTGGTAACACTAAAAGAAGAAGTCCTCTCGGGGATAATTCAAAGACCTGGTGCGGTATTACACTTGTCTTCTCGAGATAGAGCCTAGAGTCGTAAAGACAAGTAGGACAGAACCGAAGAGCGAACCCCAAATGCCACCAGTTGCAGGCGTGAGTTATTCGGGTGTTCAGTGCTGTGGTGGAATTTTGTACGTCGCGGAAGCTATACTGACCACTGGGTGAGTGATCACAGCTCAACATGTCTGCTTTGGGAACGATTTCCACGCCGGTATGTGCTCATATGTGTTTGTACGCATTACCGCTTACGCTTGTCATTCACCCACTAACCAACCAAACCCACAAAGACGGAGAAACAAGTGTCAGCAACGTAAACAAACTGAAACAGCTGCTCAAAACGACTGTGACGTGAGGGTGGCTGCAAGTCATAGGCCACGCAAAGTATATGGGGAAAACCAGTGCGGAAGTACAGTAAACGGGAGATTCGCAAAACAATTTTTGTTCTAGTCACGTATACATATTTTACAGTAGTTTTACACCACACATATGCATACATACATATGTATGTATACTTTAATTTAATAAAAAACAAAAACTTAAGCATTTCGGGTTTTCTATAGTAATCTGATACTTCTTGTTATTCAAAATCACAGAAAACCACTTCAAAATAAGGCGAGTATAGACATACATAAATAGAAATATACAAAGCAATCATATGAGCTTTAAAAAAAAACAGAAGACGCCTATAACGAAGAGAGAAAAAATAACAAAACCCCCCACCCAAAAAACACCCTTCAATTTTCTTGTATCATAAATAAGTGAAAAACACGTTATATTCCCAAAATTAGCCGACACCCCGATTTTTGAGACCATTTTGGTGCATGCTGTCGCCTATACTTAGACCTTAACTATCAGTCGCAAATGGCCTGACATACATACATACATACACTCATGCGAGTACATATGGGTGCATGTTGGCTATATTGGACCACCAGTGGCCCCGACGTCGCATGCATATGCAAACACATTCTAACTGAGAGCGTGAATAATAACAATTTATGTAGATATGTATGTACGCTACTCTGGCAAAACAAGTTCCATACGAATTGCGAAGCGATGCTGCAGTTGGCGGTGCGATGCCGATGAATTTTTTGGAATGCGGTTCCCCCCTCGTCAGCTCCACCAAAGTTGATTTCATTAACTGTTGGCCTCTTTATGCGCCAAAATGCCAAGGAATCTCGACAGCACTCATTGGCTTATTGGATGGAATGCAGCAAACAATTCCTCTCCATTTCAGCCGCTGATTCTCCACCATATGTTGTCGGCACTCATTTACTCGTTGTGTTTCGTGTGTTTTCTTCACAAGTATTTCAGAATGAACTTGCGTACTATGACACCGACCAATCTTCTCTCCAACCATCCAATCAGTATCAACAATTCCAATTGGCACAGTCGTTGCTTGAAGAAAACATGAGGACAGGGAAAACGGAAATGGCTACACAGCTGTACGAAATCGTCACTTTGAAATGCTTTTGAATCGAAATCAGTTTGTACAGCTGATGCTTCGACGAATAGGCCTAAACGGCTTATCTCACAGTAGTGAGGAATGTGACTGAAACAAATGTAGAAATTGAAACTTGAATAAAAGAGATTTTGATCTCGATCATGCGTGGTTATTGCCTTGGGAGCCACCACAGTTTGTCATAAATCAAGAAAAATATGTATCAGTGTATGTATGTATATCAGTGCCCAAACTTATTTGCGAAGGGAATATGTAAGTACATAAAAAGTCGGCGGAAACTACGAATTGGCTAAAAGATATCAGGAATGATACATCGAGAAGTTATCAATTAATACCATATACATATGTATGTATCATTAACTATCGCGTTAGGGAAATTTAAGTGCAAAGTACTCGCTATCCACGGAACATCAGAGGTTTTTAATTTGTTTTGATTATGTAGCTTAATAGTAAAAAAATCTATTCTAGAATTATGAGAATAGAGGGAGATGGAATAACTTGTCACGTTATGTAAAACATTGCTTTGTCAAAATTCGACAAAGAAACTTAAATTTCCAATCAGCCTTTTTATTATATAGCAGCTGCTAATTCGTATCGACTATTCCATATCAGCTGCTGTACTTTTGCGCCAACACGTTAACAAGCGAAATCACATGTATTTCGCCGAAACGACGACCAGCACCACTGTAAACAAAAAATCAGCCGTTTTCAATATGGACGCCAGAAGGTAACGCGTCACTTCATTTCCAGTTTTCTTGCCAATAATTTGCTCTCGTTTGCTGTTTGCTGCTCTCTGCTGGAAGACAAGAATGTTGGCGCGGTGATTGGAAGCGACGTGTCTGGTGGCCCGCCTGAGAGAGGTATGCGGCGAATGTACTCACATATACGAGAAAACAACTCATCATCTGTTATTTTTGTATTGCGTTTGCTTTGAGGTCTTTCCGTGACGATCCGTTTTCGGTTGTTTTTTTCTTCTTCTGCACCGCTTTGTTCCACGCAAACAGAATTTTCATTTTTAATTTTACAATTATGCCCACGTATGTTTGTATGTAATATTTAATGTTCCTATTTTCTACCCCCAATGAAACAAACTGTAGCAAGCAGAAACAACAACAACAACAACAAAACTAAACATACTTATTCCAATAGCTAAATGTGTGTGAACAGTGGCCTCAAATTGGTGTGCATGTGTGGGGCATATTCTCCTCTCTTTGTCGCACCAAAGGCGAACAGATGTTTTTCACCGCTTTGCTTTCGCTACTACGAAAAGGTGACTGACGGTACAGAGGCATATTTATGTATATACATATTTACTTTTACATATGAGAATATATTCGTATATAGCAGAGGGTATGTCTGTACATATGGTTTTAATGGTGGCTTGAATGAACGAGAAAACGAACAGACGTATATGTATATATTAGAAAAATCAATAACTAATGTGGCAAAGGTACAACTGAAGACTCAAAATGCATTACTAATAACAGTTCTCAAAAACAAGTGTTTACGACGTATATAATTTCATGTGCACTTACTGTAGTTCCTCGTCCAATTCCTCTGTGCTGTTGTATTCGGCGCTTTCCAAAATGAGTTCCTCTGTCTTGATAGCAACGGGTACAGACATTTTTGTGGAACGAAATGTTTGAAATTTTTGTGCGAACTGCTTCAGCGACGATGTTTCTTTTTCACTTTTTTATTTTGATATTTTTTCTTTATTTATTTTTAAGCACACACCCAGACGCTTTTTGCAAATATGTATTGCAATTTCGCAAATAGACACGTGTTTTATAAATATTCACCAATATCTTCTCTATATATGTATGTATTTATATACACGGCACAGCTGTATGTATTTGCAATTGAAATTGTCTGGCTGAACGATTCTGCTGATTCTTTTCGGCGCCTTTTCTCACACCACTTTTATTCACACTGCAAACTAAAATTTTGCTTTTACTCAGCACTTTTAACTCAAATTTGCGCTGCAGCTAGATAATTCGAATGCAAGCAGAATTATTTCAACTTTGTGATATTAAATCGTTTTGCAAAATCCAATATTAAAGGAAACGTCAAATATAAAGCGCGCAATTACACGAACAAATTTTCCGTACTTGACGTTTGTCGTCTTTCGCTGATTTTACCGGACTGGCAGCGGCGTTTCTCTCGTCGATTCTCTGGGCGTCATTGGAAGTCGCCACAAAACGAATGAGATTTCGAGATGCCAGATTGTGCGATGTTTTTATTTCGGTGGATTCTTTCGAAATCGCATGAAGTTTTTGAATTGAAGTCAGTCTTTCCACCGGACGTTTAATGCGTGAATTCCTATGTGTTTACTGTGGTATAAAAGTGTGTTAACTCTCTTTTCAAAATCACTTTAAGCCATTTAACAGAGAATGTTATGTTAACAGTCGATGCTGTCAGTACTAATGTAACCAATTTGGAAGTTTCGGTATATTTCTTGCCAGAGTCGTGTATTCTCGGGATTAATGGGGAAAGAGACTTGATTTTGTATGATGAATTTATTTCTGCAGAAATTACTTTTTTGCATTAGTTTTAACATAAATGCATGTATTAAGTAATTGGCAAAGATAATGCTTCACCTCTTTCAAGAAAAAACCAAAACAATAGACAAAAGAACAAAAAGCAATCGTGGAATTGCATGATTGCACAAAATAAATAATTTACGGAAACAAACAAGCAAAAGTGAAAATGGACACATGTATGAATGCATTTTCGTTTCAGCAGCGGTTGTCCGTGAAGCAATAATCTGCACTTGCAAATCATAATGTTATGATTTTACTAAATCAACCTCGATTATTTTCCGAATCCTTCGGGTACGATCTCTGGATTGTTAAATAAAACTCGCCAACTTAATTTGCAGTTTCTTTCGTTATAAAGAATTAATCTAATGTCCTTTATTTACTCCGTAATTCACAATTCAATTACAATACACTTTACTATTTACAATCACCAGTATCAACTTTCACAATTTACTCTACTTAAATATAAT